AGGCAAACCAGACATCGTGTTCAAATGTTACTCCTCCAAACTACTTGAATTTCTTATGACTTCGTGATATTATATTCCTTTTAAGTATGACAAAATGGGAATAAAGTGAAGTACTAAAGAAGAATGTTTTATGGTTCTGGATGATAAATTGTTTAGGTTGGTATTAAATTATACTAAATGTCGTTCGGTTAAGTAGTCATCACTGCTACTTCATATTAGTGATCTTCCAGGTTCAAATATCGTCCTGGAAACCGACAGTCCTTAAGTTTGCCCTGGTTTTCCTCCGATACTCTAGGTAAATGTGATAGTACTTCAAATTATACACGATTTATTCCTTCCACAACCTTTCAGGTCCTTGTTCACTAAGTTTCTAATCATTCTATATTATACAACCTGAAAAAATTACAGCATCTTTAAACAGATCTTAAATAAATACATACGATTTACGTTTTAAATTCCAACTGTTTTCATTAGGTGTTATGAATTCGTTTTGTTTTCATAATATTGATCATACAAAAGTGGTGAGAAAAGAATAAGAATTCTTTCACATATAAAACAGTAACAGATTTTATCATGTCAAGGCCTAACATAACCTAAATTATTTATAACTTTTTCTTCTCAGGTCCGTATTCGGTCCATGGCCTCCTCAATTCTCCTCTTCCATTCGGTCCTCTGTTAGGTCCGTCTGTCCCTCTAATTTTATGTAAAACTTTTTGTTGTTGTTGCTACGTGGCTGCTTTAAAATGTTGCTATTTCAATAAACCAAGGAAGTTTTCTTCTGAGAAATAACTTCTGAATGCAAGTATTATGAGAACACAGAGCCTTGGAACTGGAAACTCTGGCAGGTGCCTTGCATTTCGTAGTTGATTAATCATAAAATATAAAACGTTTTTCTTCTCTAAGGTATGCAAAGATGAGTGGCCTCCTGTTGCTTTAATGAGAATATTCTCCATGAGGTCAGATAGCATGCGTCACATTCTCGTCAGACCTCTGACCCACTAACTACTGAATACACAAATATCTATTGAACTTTAATTTTATTGCTGAGCATGACTGCTCTTGAGATTAGATGGACAAGTATATCTGTATTGAACTAAGTAGGCATACACATTGATGTCTCACCACCAGATTAGAGGACAAAATTATTGTATAAAGGTAGTTAACAGATCCTTTGAAAATGTGTCAAGTTTAAATATTTGGGAATAGTAGAGAAAAGTTAGAATTGCATCCCCAAAGAAGTTGAGCTTTGAATTTGAATAATGCAGTTTAAAATCGTTCATCTTATAAAAATGTAAAGGTTGAAACATACAGAACTGTAATTTTATCTTTTGTTTTGTATGGGTGTGAACTTTGGCCTGTCATACTTCTTAGAGGTCCTTATTCTGGGCTTTTATATTGCACCAAACAAAAGGAAGTCAGAGAAAAAATTACACTTTTAAAGGTTGAGGGAAGAACAAACTTTTGACATTATCTGAGGACAAGATGCTGATGAGGATGAAATAACAGGATTCTGGAGAAAATTACATAATGAGAAGCTCCATAGTTTGTAATCTTAACAAAATATAACTATGTCGTCAAATCAAGAAGGACGAAGTGGACGAGGTGTAAACCGCACATAGGCAGATGAGGAATTTTGACTGGAAAACATGAAGGGAAGAGAGCACTTGGAAAACCTAAGCATAGATGGGAGGATGATGTTAAATTAGATGTTAAGAAAATGGGGTTGCAAGGTGTGGACTGAATTCATTTGACTCAGGGTAGGGAGGGGTCTTGGTAGGTTATTATGAACACAAAAATGAACCTTCAGGTTCCACAAAAGGCATCTAATTTCTTGACTAGCTGAGCTACTATATGCTTCTCGAGAAGGTATCTGAATAATTGCTTTGGTTGGTTAGTTAGTTAGTTAGTTAGTTATTTAGTTAGTTAGGTAGTTAGTTGTTTAGTTAGTTAGTTATTAGACATTTTCTGTTAATTTTGTTTTAAAATTCATAAAAATTTAACGAACACCATACTTTCCAGTACTGGAAGTATAAGACTGGACTGACCACAGTTCACAGCTTCAAGAAACAACCCTATGTAAGCCAAATGGTGGCCAGCCCCCTTATTTACAAGCAACGTATGTTTTCCCTTTTCCAAAAGTAAATTGCCATTTAAAATCTCCTCCCTCTATATCGCAACATAAGCTTCTTTATGCATGTAATCTTGTTGTAAATCGAGTGTGATTAACGAGATCGGGTGTTGCTTTAATTAGTTTGTAACTTGCTCAATAGAGTGCGCAAGAGCTCAGATCCTCACTTTGCAGGTATGTAGCTGACACTCTGCAAGCATAATACTTCTTGTAGTCACGGAATTTTCTCTAAAGTTCTCTGGAATGTTGTGTGTTTTCAGCAACCACAAATCCTACGTGGTTTGAATTATATAAGTCTGGTTTATCATATTCACTATAATATTAATAAAACAATTTTAATATTTGCAGACAGTCATGTCTCATAATTAGATACACATGAATACATTTTAAATCATGTATAGAACACTTACTCCCTTGATGTTTGTCATGTGACTTAACAATCATGTATGTTAAAAATATTTGTTATAGCATGATTATTGTTGCCTGTATAATTAATACAGTATAGTGTTTTAATTGTAAATGGTGTGTAAATAATTCCCATAATACATACTTTTACTTTCTCTCCATTCTAAACAGACACCGTACAAATATTTAATGTGGCCATTTTGCAGCCATGAACATGGCTACATGACTGTGTATTCTCATTTATTGTTATGTAATATGTGATCCCCATCATGTAATAAAATAAACTAATTTAAAGGTAATCATAACACTGGAGTAAACTTCATATTTTAACAAACTAAATAATCTACTATAAAATAACTCCTTGTCTATATGGGGTTCTATTATGGGGCACAAATTCATGCTGCTTCGTATTACTTGGTTTATAAATTATATTTTAAACTAAATTCTAATTCTTACATATGTAATTCATTACATTACAGGAAGTAATGCCTTCCATGATATTTTTTGATATTGTAACAGTAACTTAGTATAATTGCATATTAATACAGAATAAATTAACAGTTTTATTGCTTTGTGGAAAAAAATTACATCCTAATTCATCTGCAGTGCAACCCAAAGTGTGCATGGTTAGTTTACCACAAAGCATTAAGTCATGCTAATATTTCCAGGGATATTTTTCTGATTGATAAAACTTAACTCCACTATGGTACAAAAAATATACTCAGTGTTACATATTCTATTAATTGTAGTTAAAACATTCTTCTGGAAACGGATGCCTACTTTGATCCCAGTCATGACCAACTTCAATCCAGCTTACAAACTCACAACCTGTTTTCTTACAACATATTTTAATGCCATGATGCCACAAATAATTTATTTCAGTAAAATAATATACATTTAAATGATTGGCACTCCTGCATAATATTTAGTAGGTTCTGGTTTTGAATCTCTACCAAAAGACCAGGTATTCTCATCGGCATGTTCATGTGTTTCACCTTAATCTCCTCAGTAAAACTGGACATGGCATCTTCCTTCCACATTTTCCCAAGTACTACAGTTCAATATTATATCCATAATATCTATAACATATCACCACTTAATGTAGACAAAAATCAAACTTCTTCTCTACATGAAATTTATTCTTCAAATTACATACTAATTATTTATTCTTCATGAACTCCTACCTGATTCAGAAGCATCCATTACCGTTACTTTGGCTGTGGTGGCCCAATCAATAGCCACCAAGATTATTTAACTTAGCCCCCAAAACTTCTTGCTATTGGCCTTCAAGTAGGATGCAATCTAAATGTCTCCTATACCCAACAGCACTGAAGCACTGAAAATTTGGATGATATAAGCCATACAGTAAGTGGATGAAGTAATACATTGTACAGTGTCTGTGCAAAACAAGGCTGTACTCTCTCATTTTGTTTCATATTCCTGCCTTTAATAAAACCAAGTGTTTTAGAGATTTTGTTAAGTAGGACCTAACTTTGTAATTGTACTGTACAACTGAAATTGACTATTAAGACAGAACATTCTATTAATAGGAATTTTTCCATTGAAACAGTATACTAATTCTGTTATATGAGAAGTTGAATTTGAATTTCAGATAATGCTACAATAATGGCATAACCTAATTCAAAGTTAAACGCATAAAACGATAGAACTATCCATGTATATAGCCACTGATTTCTTATTTACATATTATCTGAATGGTTGCTGTTGCATTGTAGTACTAAATAAGATTAAATAATACTTCCTGAACCATGAAATAAGTCTGTGGTGTTAGAACACCATTTTCCTTGATAATTAGGAAACTCATTTGCTCACAAATTATCTAAGGTACTGCAGTGATGTATCAAAGTGGTTCGTTCTTTTGAGCTACAAAATTGAGAAAATATTTCTAGTCATATTAAACATGCTTCAAAGACTAATTCCTACAACTAACTTAGAAAACTTCCTTCAGACTGTAGTAAACTAACCTTATTTGTAACAACCAAAAGCCATATGTGCAATATTAGAGATTAGTTTCTTCAAAATTAACTGGAAACTATAATATCTAAAAGGGATGCAAATGACTTTGAGGTTATTAGGTGCGAAAGGGAGAATTTTGATCCTCCAAGCAAAATATTCATAAGACTACTGTGATGTTACATTCTAAGAGGTTTACTGTATGCTAGCATGTTGTAAATCTCCTGATAGTATCAACTCAGGATATAAAACGTATTTATTTTGCCGTGAAAATTGAAAAACCTTTAACAGCATATATTCTTTAAGCAGCATACTACATGTATAGCTGATATATACAACACTGATGAATGCTGGTGGCTAAAATACAAAGTACTCTGCATACTATACCTGTAAAGTAAAGTGGCTAGAGGAGAAATCCTCTGCCCCCGTCGGGGATCGAACCCCGGCCGTCCAGCCCGTAGCTAGTCACTATACTGACTGAGCTATCCCGGCTCATACTATACCTGTACTTCAATATACAATTACTTTGGGTGCACTGAATGTAATTAAAATGTAAAATAACAGCTTTTAATAGTAAAAACAACCCATTGGACTCAAATGAATCTCATATAAGCTGTGTGTAGAACTTGTGTATAAGAACAGAAAGGTTTATTCAGTTCAGTTGATGAAAAACACAAAAGAAGATTTTTGATTTTGAACATTTAAAATAGATATTTTATATTTATTTAATCACTTTCTGTCAGAATTGATGTTGAATGAGACCCCCATTTCTTGGCTTATGATTTGAATCTGTATTTTCCCATTGGTCAATGGCTGAATAGATCTTATCTTGTGATACATTTTCAATTCATTCTTGTAGTAATACCACTGAATAAAATGTATCTGTCCAGTTTCTGTACACTAATTGTTAAAGTCTGGTAACATATGCTGATCAGCCATCAACCAATGGAAAAGATGGTCTCAAGCCATAACCCATGAAAATGAAAAATTGTGGTTGAATTATCAACTTACATGAGTTTCATTCAACTATGAAAAGTCATTCATTTTTACAATTATATTTTTATAAAGCATAATTTTTTGCACCACCTGGTATTGTTTTAATTGTTTCATCTTAATGTGCTTCTAAACTAGTTATTTAAAACTAAAACTAAAGTAACCCTTCTATTTTTGACATAATTAATATGTATGACATATTTTAACATTATATATAGTAGGGCAATAAAATAATGAAAGAATACCTCCAGTTCTGCTTGTTATATGGCATTAATAAAAGTTAATATAATTTTTAATTTCCTCTGGTTTATGCTTGTAGATATGGGGTGATAAGTCTAATTGCCAGAGACTGCTCTTAAAGATATATTATACATAACATTCAGTAGTCATGTTATTTAATTTATGTTACTGTTTTATACAAGACTGAATGAAGCACTTTTACTTTTGCAAGAATATTTTTATACAGTTGGCAAGAGAAAATTAATATATTCATATACATGAATACAGCACCTGAATCATGAATACTAAGAACATAACATTTACAAGTCATACCTACATATTATACATGTAGAAAACACATTTCAGCTTCCTCATAAAACACTAAATGTACTGCTTCAGGTTGAAAATAAGATTAAAGATATCTGTTTCAAAATATGATTGTCTTTGACCACGCCTTTATCTTGTGGTCTTTAATGTACCTAGTGGCCTGCATTGTATGTGTATTAAACAATTGTTGCCAATAAGACCAATAGTATTTCAAAATGTCAGACCAGTCTTATGTAATTTCAATAAACTTCTGGAATTCATGCTACAGTGGGAAATCAGTATTCCTGCTTCATATTCAGGAGGTTTTGGCTTAAAATCTTGGTCTAGAGTAGCTAACCTGATGTTTTGTGAGGTTTCCTTTTTTCTGTCCAGTCAATTATGGCAGTATGTTCATTTAGGCCACAACTGCTTCCTTTCACTTCCTTTCCAATTCATTCTCTCATACAGTGCCATAAAGTTTAAACAACTGACAGCAAAGTTAAATGAACAAATCGGAAAGAACCCACATTAATAAATACTTTGCTGACAAAGTGTACTTCTGTCAGTATCTTCAGTATTGGGGGATACCTTGGAATCATCGATAAATCTACACATAAGGTAAGGTTGTCACAGTGCTTAATTAAGCACAAAAGTGGATTCATGAGTTTCATTATTAAATTCCGTGTATAGTACATAAGCTACAGTTAATAGTAAATAGAAGCATACATGTAATCGTGTATGCGAGAATTGTGAATAATGAAATCATCTTTGCTTGTAACTGATCATGAATCCGAGAGGTGCGAAAACGATATATCGAACTAAATTTGGTGTAGATGTGCAATATAGACATGTGCCTCTCGTAATGAAAGATCAAAAATGAATACTCGTATCTGACGATTTGTAAGAATGTTATCCTTATCAATAAGACAGGTAAGGATAGTGTAAGTTCGTAATGCGCTGCAATTTAGTTAATTTCTCTAAAATCTGTTTTGTTAGGTTATGATAGTATTTTGGTACGTACCATCGTTTTATCCATTCGTCAGTGTTACAGAACTGCTACTAACAGGTAATTTTGATCGGAAAATGCACATAAGGCTAGTTTTCATGGAGTACAGAGTATTGTTAGGGTGTGAACGTATCGAGGTAATGCTCCCCATCATTTTTTAACCTCTTCATACAGACATTGATAGTTTCTCATGATACAAACTGTGTAAATCTACTTACTCGTACTTATATTTGTATTTCCGTGATTTTTACTAACTGACTGTTGTTTATATGACACACTAATTAGTCAGCCTTTAGTGCTGGAATATTTAATCCTGTGAATAACACTTTCAGATTAGTAGAAAGCTTAAAGATGGTGCCCTTCTTCCATCAGATGTTTGTGCAGCCTGCCTGTACCAGGCTGAAAAACTGAAGACATTAAATATGTTCGTCAGATTAACAAAAGAAGTGGCTGAGATTCAAGCCAAAGAGGCAGATTCCAGGTATAAAAATGGTAATTAAATGGACCATATATATCTATGCAGAATTTTTCACAATCTCATGTCTTCATGTAAGGGACTGATAATTTGATTCATTTCAAGGTAACATCAGGTGCTTATTAGATGGTATTCCAGTAGCTGTCAAGGACAATTACTGTACGCTTAATGTTGAAACAACATGTAGTTCACAAATGTTGGAAAACTTTAAGCCTCAGTATAATGCAACAATGGTCCAGAAACTGCAGAATGCTGGGGCTGTTCTACTCGGAAAATGTAACATGGATGAATTTGCAATGGGGTAAGTGATGCTAGAGTTGTCAGTATGAAAACTCAGGTAAATATTGCTAACTTTTACAACTGCAACCACCAGTAGGGAATTAAGTTCTCAGACTTTAATCATTTTAGCACACTCAACAAAGAAAGATCTAAATCATTTTTAAACATTGCTAACCTACATAATCCCACAACATATTACTGAATTTGAACTTTACTAAATGTTGCTTGATCTAACATGGCTCTATCCAGTCCTGTCAGCCCTGTATTGGCATTATATCATATGGTCACTTAATTAGCCTCGACATCATGCCTGGTACTTCAGGAAAGATTTGATGTTCATACTATAAAGCACTGTTTCTGGGCAGTAAGCAGTGATAGGGAGTTTTGTATGAGGTTCTTCTTTATACCCTTTTCACTTCTATGCAGAGCATAGGGGCCTCCTTTCAGAGGTTTCTTGATCTATTTAGACATTTGGTAGAACTCCTTGGATGAGTGATCAGCCCATCACAAGGTCTCTACCTGTACACAGGACAGCAAAGTAAAGTAATGCTGTTCCACTATACACCATGTAGGCTCTTGGGGGGAGAGGAAGTATAGCTCCTACTCATTCTTGACCTCGGCACTAGATGGGGGTAAGTAGTCAGCATGACGCCTCGGCCATGCTTTACCCCCGGGAAAGGACCCCGGTACCCATTGTAGAGGAGGCTGGGTGGGTCCCAGAGCCGGTCTGGACACAGAGGCTAGAGGAAACATCCTCTGCCCCCATCGGGGATCGAACCCCGGCCGTCCAGCCCATAGCTAGTCACTATACTGACTGAGCTATCCCGACTCATTACACAGGACAGCACCACACAGAAAGATGCAAACAACCATCCATGCCTTGAGTGGGATTTGAACCCACGGTCCCAGTGTCCAAGCACACGAGGCCCACCCCTCAGCCTGCACGGCCACTGTGAATGGCTTTGTATAATAATAATATATTAAATAATAATTAAATTTACTCTAGTATTCCAAAATCCTAATTCGTCATCTGTACATATTTACAAATTAATTTACTTGATGTGTCAATAAAAGTTTCTTCTTACAGGTCAGGCACTGTAGATTCAATCCATGGCCCAAGTAAGAATATTTGGCAGTCAGGAAAATGTGCAACATCCATAGAACATGTGCATAGTGTCAAAGTGAAATGCCGGGAATTTTATCAGCTTTCACCACCCAGCAGTAAAGGAAGTTGTAGTACTGTGGAAGAAGATGATTGGTTCATCGCAGGTGGAAGTTCTGGAGGCAGTGCTGTTGCAGTAGCTTCAGGAACTGTATTTGCGTAAGTGATCAGTATTTGACGGAAGTGGTATAGTATTAGTATGGTAACAAATATTTGGATCTAAGATGGTTGGAGTGACAAGAGGCCAGAGGATATTGCATAATGAGGAGCTGCATAAATTGTACTTTTAACCAAGTAATATTAGGATAAAATCAAGGAGGATGAGATGAGCAGGGTATGTAGTGTGCATGAGGGGAAATGAGAAATAAGTACAAAATTTTTATTTGAAATCCTGAAGGGAGGAGGCCATTCAGAAGCCTTAAGCTTTGGTAGGGGTATAATATGAAAAATGATTTTGATTGAAACAGGATTTGGGGATGTGGATTGGATTGACTTATCTTAGAGTAGGGACCATTGGTGGATTCTTGTGAACATGGTAATGAGCCTTGGAGTCCCATAATATGTGGTGAATTTCTTGACCAGGTGGACATACTATTATATTGTCAGAAATGATTCATCCTTATGGAGTAAGGTAGTTGGTGTGGTAACATGTTCCTAAGCAGATAATTAACACAATTTATGGCTGAACATTTAATAATAAAACTATGTTCTTTTGAGCAATAAGTTTCTATAATGTGAGATTATTGAGGTTTTCATGGCAGTAAATATGAAGATGTTTTTCATCTGGGACTTTGCATTGTGTAGTCTGGTTGGTCAGTATTACCAGTCTTCTAGTGCAGATATATACAAATTACACTGAATAAAGCTTGCAACAAATAAATACTACATCTAGTACATATGTCGAATGTGTTTTCTAATGTTTGTTTGAAGTGTTTTGCTGAAAAGGGCTGTGTACGTGAAGCATTGTAATACTCACAATTCAGCAGTTCAGGTTGTACAAAGAAAGTATTATGCACTTTTTATGTCAGGGCCCTTGGTTCAGATACTGGAGGTTCAACAAGGAACCCAGCTGCATATTGTGGTGTTGTGGGTTTGAAACCCAGCTATGGTCTGCTGTCTCGTCATGGTCTCATACCACTTGTCAATTCTATGGATGTACCAGGAATTCTGACAAGAACAGTGGATGATGCTGTTACACTATTAAGTATGTATAAGGAAAAAATTATGGGGAAAAATGTCAACATTTCTGTAAATGATTCATTAAGATATCTCCAAAAGTAATAAGTTACAGTCTATCTCAATTAGTAAATTCATTTTATACAAAATTTCTGGTTATGTAATTTACAGCATCCGGAAATTGTCAAACAAATCTTTCATCTGCAAGTATGTTTATAATTATTGTTAAGCCAAATTACATATCTTACTCTTTTGCAAACTGAGAAGTAAATATAGGCTGTTTTGCCTATTTACTCTGATGTTTAGTGCCATTTTTATGGAAGAAAGAGAAATTGTCTCGGTCTTCATCTTCACACTTCAAAATAATAAACTTTAACATGCATTATACTGATGTAGTTGATTGCCCAAGAAGACTTCATTGCACATCTTGGGAACATCCAAGTCTTCAATAAAGATTGTCTCATATGAGTTAATCCTGAAATAATATATAATTTAATATTCAGAGGAAATTCTTGAGAAAAAAGTGTGTAGTTTTTTTTTAAATAAATGTGGGCTTGTATCTATATGACACAAAAAATTGTAATTGTGCCTTAAGACTACAAATCATTGTTTAAGGTTAATTTTTTCAGATGTTCTTGCTGGATATGATCCACTGGACTCTACTACAATAAGAGATGATTTTATTCCATTGGATTTAAGCCAAGATATAGACATCAGTAAAATGAGAATTGGAATACCACAGGAATATCACTGCCCAGGGATTTCTGATGAAGTTTTGGAGACTTGGAGTGAGGTTGCAGACATTCTGGAGAAGGCAGGAGCAGAAGTAGTCTCAGTAGGTTGAGAACACTGACAAATCTTGCTTTATGTTATGATACCTCCATTTATGTTCATTTTATTCATTTGCATAAAGGTATTTAGATTTTCATATTACTGAATTTGGTAGGTGGTTATGAACATTTTGGAGGAACATTGGTAACCAGAATGTGTCACAACTCAGGATTAATTTTCACAAATATCTGGGCTGGTTATAAAATATTAGTCTTGATGGTGAACATAAAGAATGATAAAAATGTAATAGTTCAGTTTCTTCTAGGTTTCAATGCCTCACACACCATCATCAATAGCATGTTATTCAGTGCTGAATCAGTGTGAGGTTGCAAGCAATATGGCACGGTATGATGGCATTGAATTTGGACTGCGCACTGCAGAGAACAGGTCAACAGAAGAACTATATGCATCAACACGCAGTCAGGGCTTCAATGAAATAGTGAGAGGTCGCATCCTAGCAGGAAACTATTTCTTGCTACAAAGGTAATTATACCACATTCACTGGTAGAATGATCCCACTCTTTTTACTTAATTTTATATTAAAACAAGGGTGTAGCAGTTATTGGGCAAATAATAGTAGAGGCTTAGCATGATTCACCATCAAAAATTATGTGCTTACACATGAAGGGTGTGGGAGACATGCAGGAAAATTCACTCAGATGCAGATGGTCGTGAACCTGAACCAATGATGTGATAGATCAACAATGAAGTCCTTATCTCCAGGCTTTTGCACACATGAATACATTTTATGTAGGCTTCTGTGGTCTACATCGTCAAGTGTTCACATTGTGGTTCATTCTGTAAAGAGTATTTTTCCTGTTATTTCTGCCTTCTTCAATCCTATTGTGAGGAATATCATCAGAGAGTAGAAACATCAGCAAAATTTATTTACAGAATCTAGCACAGTTAAGGCAGCCTTGCTTTTCATAGTGAATGATCGAGATTTATGGTACAAACTCTAAGGTTGTCTTAATCTTGCATTTTTGGTGAGTTAGAAAAATTCCTTTGATCTTGATCATTGTAGGAACTACTCACAATATTTTGTCCAAGCTTTGAAGGTGCGTCGACTAATTGCCCAGGACTTTGCTCGTGTCTGGTCATCAGGCATTGATGTTCTCTTAACACCCACGACACTGACAGATGCTCCAAGGTATTCACAGTTTATTTCACGGGACAACAGAGAGCAGTGTGCCTCCCAGGATTATTGTACACAGCCAGCAAATATGGCAGGTAAGTGGTCTGACAAACTAATGTGGTAGTTGTTTACCAAAATATGAATACTCTTTTAACACGACTTACCTAAGATATGGAAGATATGTGTTATGTAATCTTCAGATATGAAACACATTATCTTCCTACTGCTGGCAGTTTTCTCCTGAACCATCAGAGGCTAGCTGAATGCAACAACCCATTTACGTGTATTAGATAAAGATGATTGTCAGAACAGTGCCAGCACATCACAGTTTTTTTCACCAAACATCTGATCATTCATGACACAATATAGGTTATATAAAATATCTACCTTAACACTTTTTTCTTTATAAATTTTCAGGATGCCCTGCTGTCACCATCCCCATCAAACTCTCAAAACAAGGACTACCTCTCAGCTTGCAACTTATGTCCCAGAATTACAGGGAAAATCTGTTACTTGCCATTGCAAGATGGATTGAGAGTGTGGTTGACTTTCCTCATCTAGAATTAGATATATAGGACTCTGTTCCCACGGTTATATCTCACCAACATAAAACTGATTACTCGTCTTCATTAAATGCCAAGACTGAGCCTGGTCTTCACATGCTCTGTATGCTTCCTTGGGATAGTAAGTATAACTTTCAAACATGAGTAAAATTGTTATTATATACTTAAAATTATTTGTTGTCAGGACTTTTTCCATTGTCTGTTTTTAAAATTCACGACGTTTCGGAGGCTGGATCTCTTTCTAAGGAACCCAACAGAGTAGGTACCTCTCACCTGAAGACGGAGACAGATTCAGCCTCCGAAATGTCGTTAATTTTAAAAACAGGCGATGGAAAAAGTCCCGACAACAAATAATTTTAAGTGTAAACTACCGTCATCAAAACTCTTTAGAATTGTAATTATATACATTAAGATAGTGGGATTACATGGAACCCAAAGTGTAAAGAATGTGGAAGTAGTGAAATAAAACTTCAGATTTTTCTGTGCAGCAAAAATGTTTGATATGAATCTGTACATAGATGTAGGGACTGTTGAACTGTATTACAGTAGGACAATGTCCAGACCTGGGGCATTTAATCCCTTTATCAGTCATAACAATTCCACAGAATTTAAAAATACTTATGTCATATAAAACATCTTTTTCACAGTTCAGTGTTACTAAAATTCCTTCTGATTATGAAGAAATTTACCATTGTTTTAAAATTTAAATGATGATGCAGCCATTCTCGCAACTGTTCCAGTGATGATAAGCCATATTGTAATGCTTATTCCCCCAAATGTATCTGTGGGCCAGCTGAAGATACTGTTGGTGGGATGAAGCCATTTTTCAGGTATAATTATCACTGGAGTGTATTTGTAGTTCCATACAAGAAACAGCATTACCAGCTGCTGTAAAATAAATATTATTTGTTAATTTAACATTATCTAATGTTCTAAAATATAGTTTGGCAACAAATGTCAGATATGTTTGCAATAACTTTTCTTTTATATACTTACCATTATGGCTTGTGCTACGTATGTAATTACAAATTGCAATTTTACAAGCAAGCACATTCTTTCGTTTGCTGAAAGAAGACAGACAATTTTATAAATGGGATCAAACTCAAATTCAAAAACCACCTGCATCAAACTACTTCCAAATAAAGCTACCTCTAGACTTCAGTTCTTCTTGTACTTTATTTAGTTTGCGCTGAAGCCTGGCATGCTTAGCAAATTCATCTATTATTGATATACAGGCCATTTCTCTTTGAAGGACCAATATTTCATTTTGTAGTATTCTTTCTTGTTGTAATTCCATGCACAGGAGCGACAAGACCTAATAAGAGACAAAATTATTTTTATTGAATGCAATTAATTTATACACTTAACATTTTATGATGTTGGTTTATCATGAATGTTCTAAATAATTTCCCTTAAATACTTGTAAACAGATATTTTATAGCAACCAATTTATCAAGCTTATTAATAAGACATCTAAAAATTATCCTTTAAAATTCATCCCTATGCTAAAGCATGAAACCATAAAAAACATGTAAGGAGTGATCTCAACTGAGAATCAGCCCAATATATTTAGAGTCAGTGCAACAGTAATACTCCAAACTTCTATTTTGGTAATATCAGTTCAGTCTCTTACCACGTTACCAGTTATCGTACTGTTTGTATTACTCTCAAGGCTTGTGCCAGAACAATACTTAGAAATTGGTTCCCATCGTTTCTTTACAAATACTTACCAACACACTAATCATAACCTACAAATCTCATTCAATGTTCCTCCATAAGAAAGTGTTATTAAATAATCTACGAATCTATCATATAATCACATAGATCTGTGTTTTTATAGCAGACATTCAATTTAACACCAAAAATGAAGTTGCTAACCACTGCAGCAGCGAGCCCTACTTTTGCACCTAACGTAATTTACAAACCTAGACCTTGGTGTTGCTTACGTGTTTAATTATTATAGGATTAAATGCCCAAATAAAGCTAATGGCAGTCGTTAATATTAAGAGAACCATGCTTTACGTCGATGACACCATAAAAATCTCGAAGACTTTGTATTATTGTTGTAAGGAACGTCACATGGATATAGTTTCACTCTTAGGTTATGCTCCACTTTTAGGGCTAACGCACACGACTTAACTGTCGACTGATTGTTGTGTCGTTGTTGGCTGAAGCATACGTTCAATAAACGACGCGACAGTTCAGTCCATGGGCATGCGTATACGTACGACTAAACAGTCGTTCTCTTGTTCTCTTTTGTTCCACATTCTTCTCTCTATGCTCGCCGAGTACAGAAGTCAGGAATGTTGCAAGAAGATAATATCGAACAGTTAATTGAAGAGGTAGAAAGACGCCCTACTCTTTATGACAAAAAATTAAAAGATTATGCAAATATCAATTTTAAAAGAGTACTTTGGCAAGAGATTTGTTCAGTTGTGCCAGTCTTTCTTCAAGTGAAATAGCGAGACGCATATTCGTATCTTGATAGGTTATACTCGGTCTA